ATATCTACGCAGGGAACTGGCATATCATCAATGTAATATCTACCTAGGGGGTGGATTCTTCCTTCTTTCCCCACTGTCCTGGGATACAAATTAATGCCCAAATCAATATAACTTCCTCGTAGTTTGCGGGAAAGGAAGGACAAACCAAGCCTCCAGTGGAGTTGAATTTCGCAAGATGTAAAAATGATTTACAGGCTTCGTAAAACACACTGTCTCCCCCCTTTTTTCCTTGCTCTCACACTGGTGGAAAGCAGGAATAACTCTGTAGCATCCCACCAGTGAAAAGCTATTGCAGCTGAGATGAGGATCATGTCCAAGCTGGGGCTATTGCCCAGTCATTCTAACCCAACTGCTTTCCAGTATCATTTGAGCGATGAAACTAATTTGTCAGGCAGCTCAGGGTGCAATCTGGCAAATAGGAGGTTTATCAACGATGCATCTGAAATGTGCAGCATGGTCAGAAACCAATATTTTACCCACCAGAGCTTTGCTCTAATGATGAGGGTGTCTGCCCAAAAAGGGGTGCTATGAGGTGGCCCAAGATTTGCAAACCTAGGTCCTGGCTCAAGACACCATTTCAAGTCATAGGCTCAGATTGGTAAGGCTACAAGGGGCCTTGACAATCTTCCAGTCTGACCTCCCGAGTAACACAGGCTAGAGAATCTCAGCCAGGAAACGCAAAGTCAAGCACCTGGGTACGTGGTTTCCCGACTCAGGGCTTTCGTGAGCAGGGAGAGCAAAAGCAGATTCGCTCCCACAAACAAATCCAGAGTCCATCCAAATTCCATTTGGCTCCATGCTCCAGATGTCCTGCAAGGCTGGTCCCAGTGGTTGGGACCACAGTACAAAAGAGGGAAAGAAGTTTGTTGCATTGGCCCCCGGCCTCTTGTAACTCAAGTCCTGCTCCTATATGCCTGTACTGAGATGTGCTGTATGACCTACTCCTAGCAAACCCGTCTGTCTGTCTTTCATCACATATGTTGTCCTTTTAAGGCAGAGGTCCCCAACCTTTCGGGGATGCCGGGTGTCTGGGGGCGGGGCCGCTCACGTGCCGGGTTTCCAGGGGCAGGGCCACGCATGTGTCACACGCCCGGGGCCGGCCCCGCACATGTGCCACATGCCCGGGACAGGGGCCACCCATGTGCCACGTGCCCAGGGCCGGCCCCGCACATGTGCCGCGTGCCTGGGGCAGGGGCCATCCATGCGCTGCACGCCCAGGGTTGGCACTACGCATGTTCCACGCATCCGGGTTAGGGGCCGCCCACGCATCCGAGGCTGGCACCGCGCATGCTCCGCGTGCCTGGGGCAGGCCCAGCGGGGGGGGGGGTCCCCCACCTGCCACACACCCAGGGCGGGCACCACGCATATGCCACGTGCCGGGGGGGGGGGCAGCCCAGATGTTTTGTCAGGAGCACATAAATGCCCCAGCGGGGGCCATGCCTCCCATGGGCCCCACGTTGGGGACCACTGTTTTACAGCACCCCTCCTCACAGCAATGAGGTGCTCCTTCAAGAAAGACTGCAAGAGCTGCATCCCCCCCCCCGCCACCCCGGGTGCAATTTTCTTAATCCCATTGCATTGTCTCCAGGACCACTTCCGCAGCCGCTGGTCTTTGAGGGAGGCCTTTGCAGGCATGGAGCAGGCCTCGTCTACTCAGGCATGGAGCAGGCCTCGTCTACACTGGCATGGAGCAGGCCTCGTCTACACTGGCATGGAGCAGGCCTCGTCTACACTGGCATGGAGCAGGCCTCGTCTACACTGGCATGGAGCAGGCCTCGTCTACACTGGCATGGAGCAGGCCTCGTCTACACTGGCATGTTTTGTGGCCAAAAACTGCCCTATGCGTTTCGTTTCCTCCCATATCTGGCCCCACGTACACCAAAGCTAAAAAAAAACAAACCCCTATTGAATCATAGAATCTTGGAACACTAGGACTGGAAGGGACCTCGAGAGGTCATCGAGTCCAGTCCCCTGCCCTCACGGCAGGACCAAGCACCGTCTAGACCAGGGTGGGGAACCTCAGGCCCAGAGACTGGATGTGACCCCCAGCTTGCCTGGATCCGGTCCCCGAGGCTCAGGGCTCCCCCTCAGTATTGGGGATCCTGCACTGGCACTCCATCCTCCCCGCAGGGCTGAAACACATAAAAACCACTAGCCTGGACCCCCCAGGCTCTGGTGTGGGAAGGGAATGAGAGGAGCATCACTAATTAATGGAGATTGCCTATCTCCTAGAACAGACCTTGAAAGGTCCAGTCCCCTGCCTTCATAGCAGGACCAAGTACTCTCCCTGACAAATTTTTAATCCAAATCCCTAAGGCAGGAGCAAGTATCATCCCTGACAAATTTTTGACCCAACTCCCTAAACAGCCTCCCCAAGGGTTGAACTCCCAACCCTGACTTTAGCAGGCCAATGCGCACACCACTGAGCTATCCCTCCCCCCTGACAATTAAGAAGTTGAAGCTAATGTATGAAATAAAAATTCTCATTTGAGTTTGAGAGGAATGGATCCGTGCATCTAGAAGCGTGTCTACTCTGCAGAGTTTTTTCAGAAAAATGGCCGTTTTTCTGAAAAAACTTAATTCACGTCCACATTGCAATCATGTTCTTTCGAAAAAAAAAAATGTGAAAGAACAGAGGAGTTTTTCTGGTGTTGGTAATCCTCTTTCTATGAGGAAGAAGCCTTTTTCCAAAAGAAGGTGCGTGTGAACGGGGAAGAGGGAGTTCTTTTGAAAGAAGAGGAAAGAGGAAAAGGCACAGGTGCCCTGGTAGCCATTCTGTTCATAGTAATCACAACTTAAATGTGAGATAGCACGAATTCAGTGTGGACGCTATCATTCAAAAAACAGATCGTTTTTCGTGCACTTTGGCAGTGTGGACGCTCTCTTTCAGAAGAAGTTTTTTTGGAAGATCTCTTCCGGAAAAGCTTCTTCTGAAAGAAGCCTGCAGTCTAGACATAGTCTGAGTGTCATGCTTGAGTTATCCACTGCACAGTCTTAAAGCCAGCATTGGTTTTGTAGATATAGAAACAACGGCTGCCTTTGGCCCGGAAGGCAAAGCTCTGCATTTGCAAATATTAAAAGGCACCCAGATACGTGTATTGAAATGTAACACTTGTTATCAGTCCAAGTCGCTTGAACACAAATCAAGTGTTTTCTGACGGGGACACGGTTCGGTTTTGACTCCGAGGAGATGCACTTCACCGTGGGGTAACTCCCCTTATGAAATGCGTTTCATACACAGGGATATGTCATGTGGCCCAGAGATGTTCCACTTTGTGCTTGGCAGTCTTATGGAACTTCATGTCTTCTAAAATCTATAAATTGAATTCATCCTGGTTACACCCCTCGCCTTATAAATTGCTCGGCAAAGAACAGCTAATGGATCGGCTGGTAATTTATTTTTGAAAGATGCAGACTGCAGCATTTTGGCAACCTTAAGAGGCCCGGAGAGTGAGTGTTCCCATCTCGAGGCACGGGCCCAAAGTAACGGGAAATTACCTCCATCTAGCCCCACGCACGGACACTCAAGCAATGTAAGTCTTGCAAGAGGTCCTGCCGTACCGGAAGATGAAGTTGGGGCTTTGTGCAGAGCTCCTCTGCAAAAGCAATAGCCCCAGACTACGGGTGGGCTGCTCAGCAATAGTGCCAGGCCACGGATAATGCCAACGGAGGTGGACAACTAATTTATTGGTATGAGATTGAATCTAAAAAATACAGGTAAAGTACGGCTTAAAGGGCCAGCTCTGGTTGACTTTACTCCTATGAGTCAAACCACTAACTTCAGTAGGTCTAGATCGCGGCTACTCAACTTTGGAAGCCCCGGGGATCACGATGATACTCTCAGCACATGCCGAGGGCCGCAACTTAAGTGTGGTTGCATCCACATGCAAATATATGCAAATAGCTTCTTTCACACTGACAGGCATGAATACAAAGATTAAGGCAAGGCAAGGCAACACAACACGCAGGCCCCATTGAAGTCAGTGCTGCTGATATTAACAAAATGCAACATTGGCCCGATCTCCACCCATATCACGGCACTTTTAATGAGCAATGACAGTCCAGGAATGTAACGACTAAAACACGTATTCACAGAAGACCATTGTATTGACTACTTTTTTGTTTTGGCTCCCATCCGTGGGCTGCAAACAATCAGCCACGGGCCACGTGTTGAGTAGCCCTGGTCTAGATGCTAGAGCTGAGGCTCTCAAACTTTTTGGCCCACTGCCCACCCTGCTCTACGCAGACCTTTCCGCGGACCCCAGACAATCAACCATGATGACAAAATGGGCACAGGAGGGGGTAAGGGTGCAGGGTTGACTGGAAGGGAGGGTGCAGGAGTGGGCTGAGGGTGCAAGGGTCCCAAGAGGAGGGAGTGTATGGGGGGTGGGAGTGCAGCATCTGGGGAAAAGGAGGAGAGGGGGGTGCTTATCTGGTTCTGTGCCTCCTGCTGCTCTCAAACACCACCCCCTGCTGCTCCCATTGGCCATGATTGTGGCCAATGGGAGCCATGGGGAAAGCCTCCAGGTGAGTGGTTTCCTGCGCTGCTGTTCCCCCAGACAAGAGGGAGGAGAAACTGCAGCGCACGGAGTCACTTTCCTCCCCTTCAAGCCGGATCCCTGAGGCTTATGCCCCCAACCCCACAGCGGGAAGCTGGTGCTGCCACTTCAACCTTTGGGGCGGACAGAACAAGAGCACCAGTGCAGGCTCCCCACTTTCAGGGGAAGGCGAAGCCCGTGGCCCACCTGCAAGATGGTTGCTGGCCACTAGTGGTCTACGGACCACGCTTTGAGACCCACTGTGCTAGAGTAAGGAGAGCAGGCGTGGGCTACAAATAATACAAACTATTGAAGGAAGACCCAGTTGTGTCCCCATCACTCACAAGGAAAGCCCCACCTGAGCGTGGAGAGGCAGGCTTTGGCTTTCCCTGGGAGCAGGGCCTTTTACCCAGAAAAATCCGCTTTGGCCCTTCCCTCCCCATTTGAACACAAGCACTGTACCTTTGAGAGAAGCGACGTGCGACAGAGCCTGGGCGTAGGTGGCTGTGTTGAGAAGAGTCCCCGGCAGACACGAGGGGAAGAAGGGCCCAGCGGGGCCAACGGATCGGCTTAGGCTGACAGAGGAGAGAAAGTAACTTAGAAAAACGGACGTGTTTGGCGGGGGCACTGAGCGGGGTTGGGCACGTTTCAACGGACACCGTATTCATGCATTCATGACCCTTACCTCTGCTGAATCTCTAGGCTCTCCTTCTTGTTCCTAGTTTGTTCAACCGGAGACGGGGAATTCAAATTCCTTACTGGGGGTGCCACCTCCGCCATCGTTTCTTTCGAGCCGTCCTGGTCTGAGGCGCCTCGTTCCGTCTTCCTCCATTTAGCCCGGCGATTTTGAAACCATACCTAAAAGAAGAGCATCGTCAATGACAAATGCCCTCTTTAACCGGACACGAAGCAACAAAGCCGTTTGTGAATTACTGTAGGATAATCACTTGCAGCTAGCCTAAGGCCTCGCCTTTTCTCTTGCGAGGCAATCCAATAGGTCCACAGCAGGCTTTTTGCTGAGCTCTTAGGAACACCAGCACTTCTGTCTCGGAAAGCCAAGCTGGGTTTAAAAATATCCCTATTGAGTGTTTTTAAACACACGTTTCTTCGGTAGTAAGGCCGCAATCCAACACAGTGTCCCGTGTCGCCAAAACACATTCGTAGGCGCTTCACTTTCATTCCCCCGGACTTTTTGGGGCTTAAAGTTAAGCACATGCTAAAGTGCTCCATTCTAAGGACTTAGATGGTTTCAGGCCTCAAGCTTTACTAAGTTTCAGTTGGGATCAAAGAGTTTGGGGATGAAAAGGCCTAGAGAATTCATTTGCTCCATCCAGTTTCTAGTGATCAGAGTTTGTGTCCAGTCCACATTTAAATGTCTCAAGGGACAGTAAATGATTTTTGCAGAAGATTATTCCAGTCTAACAGACGTCCCTGTCAAACTTTTCCCAGCTATTCAGCCTAAATATCCATGTTCTTAATTTCATTGCATTACTCCTAGTTCTCAGCCTCCACATTATTTTTCTCCCCGCTTAGTGTCCTTCAAATAGTTACACTGGTTGATAATGCTGAAATCTTCCTCCCGCCCGCCCGCCTCCCACCCCCCAGCTTCCCTTGGGCAGGAAATGCACCATTTAGTACATGATCACAATAGGGCCAGCATTGTGATTATAATTACTATTCTCCTGCAACTTCGTTTTTATTTAGCTGGCTTTTAATTGCATGTATCAGCACACGGTGAATAATGATTTTTATCTATATTCTAAATTTCGGGCAGTTAAAGGCAAAGCAAACGGCAGACACTTTCCTGCGTCTTAATTGAATGAAGGTCACAGCTATAACAACATTTAATTGAGCTATTTTTCATTATCATATTTTAATGACTTTGCACTGACAGTTGCCTGCTTCTGAGGAAAAACCATGATGAAGTCGTTTATTTCCCTATTTAGTTATTGTTTGACAACATCATCTTCGATTAAGACTCGGCTTTAGAGCACATTAATCATATTTGAATGAGCAAGGGGTGTAATGTAAACATATCTCCCATCCTCTGTGTTTCCCTGTGTCCCTGCATGAAAGCAGACTAAACAAATGCCGGCATCTATTGTCTGTTTGCATAATAGCCAACAAGGCGACACACCAACCCTCAGCAGCCTTAATTCTCCCCTCCCCTATCTCACCCCTGCACCTTCCAGGGAGAAGTTATGATCTTCCACTTCTGAATGCTCGGTAATTGTCCCATTTATCTCAATTTGCCGTTCAGTCTTTAGGCACCAATAGCCAAAAAGGCATTATTATAAAAAAATTAAAAAAAAGAAGAAGAAGAAGAAGAAGAAACCAGCACCTACAATGCACTGGCAAAAGGAGATTTTCAATCCCAAATAATAATCAGTTTAATTTGCCCACATATGACCAATGATTCATGTTCCGATTTAATAATCAGGATCGCCTAATCTGATTATAGGAGAAATAATTTGTTTACAATCCCCAATTTATTGCGGTGAATTCCATTATCTCTCTTCAGCCATTGGGTTTTAAGAGATACTAACATGACCCTGGGGAACAAAAGGCAAGCTATTATATTTCCTACAATTAGATCTTTGCATAGTCTTAACCCCCAGCACCTACATGGGGGAAGGAGGGTTACCAGCATGCTGAAAAGCCCTATAAATAAAATGAATACATAATTGTACTCAAAGAATAGCTTGCAAACCAGCGGTGGATGCTTGCAGAATTGCATGCCTCCTCTGCCTATGTCTGCAGGATTGCTGCTCTCAACAGAGTTTGGAAACACTTTATTTAAAGTGAAGCCGGGTGGATATGGGGAAAAGAACACTTACTTTTAAGAAGGAAGGCCGTGCTAATTGCAGGATCAAATTCACAGTGTTTGAATAGCCCTGCCAGCTTTTCTAAGCCACCTCAAGCATTTTGAAGGGAGAGTGGAAGGGGAGGAAAAGTTAAAGTGAAGCAGAAAGCAAATTCTGGCAACTGGACTCGGTGCAATTGACTAACTGGGTACTGATGGTCAAAGCTGCTTTGGAGAATCACGTCTCAGCTCTCTCTTCTTTTATTATTATTTTTTCCAAAGCAAGGAAATGGATGTGCATTGATGTAATTTAGTACCTTAGAGACGCGGACAAATTAGTGTAGAACATTATCACTAGTTAATTATGAATGACCGATTAATCAACCTAATCTAATATTCCACATTATGTTGATGTTATTAAAGTGCATCATGAAAATGACAGATCGTCTTCATTTGCTTTCTTTGGCCAAATGTGCACTCTTGCAGTCATGATGTCAAAGGGGGAGGGGGGAAGAGGAGAGTTAAATAATTCACCAGCGTGTTTACCTGCACCCTGGCTTCTGTGAGGTTGATTTTCATGGCCAGCTCTTCTCGAGTGAAGACATCGGGGTAGTGGGTTTGAGCAAACACAGCTTCCAGGGCCTCCAGCTGCAGACAGGAGAGGAAACGTCTGTGAAGAGCAGCAGTTTGGGCTTGCTGCCTGCGTGGGTGGCTGGGGGTTGGGGCGATCAGGGTGCAGGGTTCCCCATAGCACAGCCCCAGGGCAGAGGGAGCCAGGCTGGAGGGGACAGGCGCTGGAGCCCAGAGGGTTTTCCTGCGCTCTGCGGGGAAGGGCAAATGTGCCTGTACCTGCTGCAGGGTGAAAGTGGTTCTGTTCCGGCGTTGTTTCCTGCGTAAGAAGCCGTCGTCAAAGTCTCCCGTGGAGTGGCCTCCGAAGGGGGCAGAACCTGGGGGAGGCAGAGACAGGAGCTGAGCAATGTGGGGCGCTGTGTCCAGAGCGCCGCGGGTCACCCGGGGCTGCCTGCGCCCTGCAGCGCGCGCACTAGAACCTCGGGGCGCTCTCAAGCCGGAGTCACTCCGGAGTCACTGCACTCCAGCGGGCCCTGTGCCCACTTGCCCGTCTTTGTCTCGAAAACACCACTAAAAGGACACAACTACACACATCCACGCGGCCTCTCCATTTACCCAGCGCCTGGCACAATGCGCGCAGGGGCTGGAGGCGGACACTCCGCTGTGAATTTGAGTTTGGGAGGGTTGGAGGGGGGGGAGCAATCAATCCATGTCACTCCAGGACTCTGAAGGAAGTCGGGGGCACTGCTACGGACAGAGGTGGGAGCACACAAGCTATGGGGGCCTCTCTGGACATGCCCCCAAAGGAACAGAGAGGGGTGTCTGCTTTCAGGCGCTCAGCTCCTTAAACCTGGGTGTTGTGGTTTATGCTCCCAAAGGAACAGAGAGGGGTGTCTGCTTTCAGGCGCTCAGCTCCTTAAACCTGTGTGTTGTGGTTTATGCTCCCTTAAAGAAAGAAAGAAAGAAAGAAAGAAAGAAAGAAAGAAAGAAGATAAACCTATACAAAAGAAATGATTGATCTCCCTCTCACAAATTGATTCTTCTTCTTCTGTACCTTGGGGCAGGACATCTACCGACACATATTATATACCCCGACTCTATCAGCGCATCCGATTCATTATGCTTAAATTAACTTCTCTGGCCATCAAATGCACATTATTTACCTGAACGGCTCCACCCTGACATACATGTGCGTTCATTTCCCACTCGACCACAACGCTTGGGCTCTCCAGTGTAAATCGGAGTCACCCCGCAGTGCACGGATCTGAATTAACAGTGAACTTTTCACCTGGCGGACTCTCATTCATTTCCCTCGATAATTTATGCTGGCGATTCAGTGGCGTGTGTTTGTCAAAGACCAGGGGGAACCCTTTGCGTGCGGGCACAGGGGGAAAAAGTCCCTCTCTGTCTATTTTACATGGTTAAAAAAGAATAAAACAAGAGCCCTGCAACCTGGCGAGACGGAGCGCGGATCGAGCTCCCTTTTAGAAACAAACCCGGTGTTTTCAAAATTAGAAGCGGGTTTGCAAAGTCTCAGATCAGCGCGTTCCATGTTGGTCAATGGACACAACTCATTTTGTACAACCCCCCCAGGGAACACGAGAGCGAAGGCGTTGCCCGCGAACCCAGCCGCCTGAAAAGCCGAACGACCTGTCCTTGCACGCAGGAGTTTATGTCTGTACAGCTCCTAGCACAGGGAGGTCCTAGTGGATCATCCGGGCGTGACCGCGTTCGAAATAAATTGTAATCGTAGGAATCCCAGCCGTCTGCTGAACTTTGAAGAGTGGGGAACTACGGCTCTGCGGTCCTGGTGTTAGCCAGACTTCGCACTAGGGCCATCGCTGTTATTCCGAATTCTTGTACAAGGGTTTTCTAACAGCAGCATCGATGGCTCTCCCATAATCCAGCTCGAACCCTGGGGGTCCACTGAGGAACGCCTCCCGTTGGTGGAGGGCTGGAGATGGGGAGGCAAACTAGTCTAGATTGAAATCAATGCAGATTTGAACAGAACCGTTTCGTGTGTCGGTGGGCCCCAAAAACTTAGCATTATTTAAATGGGTTTTTTATCCCTATTTTCCTTTCCCTCGCCTAACAACAAAGGAACATGCGCGAGTTATTTGGTCAAGGGGCTCGTGGCCCCAGTTTAATTCCCCCCCCCCCTCCCCTTTTAGGCATATTTTACACTTGATGGTGTTCACAATGGTACTTGCTCAGAAATCACTAAACAAATTCTTTAAACCTAATACGACTAATTAGCCGAGTGGCATGCTGGCATTATATTAGAATGCAATTTGGCACGTGTAAATTGCCAAAGAGCTGTTACAACGTGCGAGAAGAGTTGTTTTAATCTACCACGGGCATGCATTTTGCACGTGTGTTCATTCTGGAACTAAGAATGAACTCATCTTATCCACTCCTCTATAGATGCTTGGAGACCCTCGGAGTGCTCTGCAATAGGATCTATATTTTAAAAAAAAGCATAAATTCATAACGTGTCAGTTTCTCTTCTGCCCACACAGCCCGAATCTGCAGGCCAGAAAGCCAGGATGCATACATAGTGTGTAGAAAGTTTTTCACTCCGCATGCACAGTGGCTAATAATTGAGTACCTCGCTCGGTTCCCTAACTAGAGATCCTAGGCAGAGAAAAGTGAACCATTCGCGACTCGATTGTCAGAACAAAATATCCTTTTGCGTGGAAGGGGACGCTAGAAGAGCATTTTTTTAGCTAAAAAAAAAAGAATTTGTCTTAAACTGACAAGATCCTTTTTTCCAAAATGGTATAAAAATCGCACTACGTGAAAACTGATGGCGAAAGAATTTATTTGTAAGGCTCTTGTGGAAGGGAGGTGCTGGCAGCCTTAACTCCAGCCCATATGCCTAGTTTCTGCTCCCTGATTTCAAGTGAAACCCACTTTCAGTAGGTGAGTGGCAGAATTTCAGGAAGGATATTTACAAGATCGCTTCGGACTGATCTCCCCACACAGCCCGGCCGCTGGGTGCTCGTGTCGATGTTTCGAAGCGTTGGGGGCTTGTCTGCTTTTCCGGGATGCGCCGCATGAGCCCAACCGTGGGGTCAGGGGAGTTTGGGGGGAGCCGCGCCTAAAACAGTAGGGCGCGCCGGTGTCACAGGGAGGCGAGTGCAACGCTGGGGACTCAAAACTCGTGAGCAATCGCCCATCAGGGGAAGCGATCGGGCATCTTCGGCCCGCTGCCTCGACTTTGCAGGCTAGTTCTGGGGGTGTTGAAAAGAGGGGGGAAGATCCACTCTGCTGGGTGAAAAGGGACCATCAGGCGAATTAGCCCCACGCGGGTTTCCCCGCCTCGGATGAACTTTCAATGAGTTGAATCGGGTTTTAGTCCCAGACAAGAGGCGCAGCCTCGGCCGGGCAAATCGGGTCCCGGGGTGACAGCGCCGGCTGCGGATCGTTCTCCAAAAGCCCCATTTGAAGCCCTTGTCTACTCCCTCCGCAGCGCGTCTGGAAACCAGCATGAAAGATTTATGCGGCCCCTTTGGCTACCGGGGGGGGGGGGCCCGAAAGGGTCCCGATTACAGCCGTGAAGCCAACATCTGTGCTGGGAGGGGAGGGAAGCATTTTCCTTGGTCGCCTGCGGCGGTTCTGGGGGCTCCCCAGCTACAGAGGGGGAGACATACACACACAGAGACACACACACACACTCACACAGAGACACACACACACACTCACGCACAGACACACACACACACTCACGCACAGACACACACACACACTCACGCACAGACACACACACACACTCACGCACAGACACACACACACACTCACGCACAGACACACACACACACAGAGACACACACACACACACACACAGAGACACACACACACACACTCCGGTACTTACACGAATTCGTGCGACAACACTCACCCTCTAACTGCGGGGGACAGTGGAAGTAAAACATTGTCAGGAGCCGGGCGAAGGCCGGCGCTGCCCGGAGCTGCGGGAGAAACGCCAAAAGAGTCATGCTCCTGAACGGAAAACGGGTTTTAAATAAATCAGCTCCCCTTTTCCTCTCCCCCCCCCCCTTCGCACCAAACAGCCACAAGCCCCGGCAGCGAGAGATCATCTGGCGATAAACAATTATTAATGGCTAGATAATTAACTGCGCTCTCCGAGAGAAACTTTGGGATGAGCCCTCACCCCCGGCTCACCATGCATCAGAAAATGAATCTTTCCAAGACCGCAGACAGTGATCTTAAAAGAACTGAGAATGGATTGCTAGTGGACAGCAACTAACAGAAGTTTGTTTTTGTTACATTCTATCTAACTATCCATCCATCCCCATACACTCTCTCTCTCTATATCCCCATACACCCCCTCTATCTATCTAATCTATCTATCCATCCCCATACACTCTCTCTCTATGGGATGAGCCCTCACCCCCGGCTCACCATGCATCAGAAAATGAATCTTTCCAAGACCGCAGACAGTGATCTTAAAAGAACTGAGAATGGATTGCTAGTGGACAGCAACTAACAGAAGTTTGTTTTTGTTACATTCTATCTAACTATCCATCCATCCCCATACACTCTCTCTCTCTATATCCCCATACACCCCCTCTATCTATCTATCCATCCATCCTTCCCCATAAAATCTAATCTATCTATCTACCTATCTATCTACAAATAAAACACATAAAGGAGAACCATCCAGAGCTAGGAAGGGATAGACTCTGTAAAAAGAAATAAGTTATTTTCCAAATATTTAAATCCCGGGCTTCGTTTGCAACTTTGATTGCCTACATTAACCACCCTAGTTCAAACTATCTATCTATCTATCTATCCTTCCCCATAAAATCTATCTATCTATCTATCTACAAATAAAACACATAAAGGAGATCCACCCAGAGCTAGGAAGGGATAGACTCTTTAAAAAGAAATAAGTTATTTTCCAGTCTAAACTATTCTGACCCACGCAGACAGCAGCTAAAAAAACCAAAACCTCAAACAAAAAAAAAACCTGTCATTGCTCTAAAGCCTGTCTTCGTTTCAAATGATCCAATCCACTGGAAGCTGCATTCACTTTGGGCACCCGTTTCCTCTGAAGCAAAGAACTCCTAGCCTGCAGACAGCGTGTCATCCCGAATCCAGGAGGGAAGAGAGAAGCAAAAACCGTTTTCCATACCTCAACCAAAGAGAAGCAAAAATCCCCAGGAAGAGGTGGGGTGGTTTTGTAATTGGAAGAAGACGCTGGGAGTCGTTGGCTGCAGAGACAGAAGGGCTCTGTGGAGTTGGGGAAGTGGCCAGATGTCTTTATATCTGTCTACAGCCTGCTCTGCCTCTCAGCACTTGCCTTTATAATCTCACGCATAATTGGCCTTAATCTGATTATTTCCAGCGCTGTCTACAGTGAGTAACTTGGATAGGTCTATTGGGCCCTACAAATGGCCCACGTGGTGCGTGGAGGAGGAAAAAAAAAGCGTCATTTCTCAGCAAACATCAGGAATGTGAATCACCAAACAAAAAAACAACCCCCCCCCCCAAATCCCATTGGTCACTAAGCATTTCGCTCTCCCCTGCGCCCCCTTTGGGTTGCCCCCTTTCGAGGAGGAGTGGTGGGGGACCGATCGCGTCTATGCCTGGTTAATTGCCCGCTGGATGGGTTTGGGGGGAGGAGGGGGCGCTTCTCGCACACGCCTGGCCGTTCCAAGCGATCGTTCCGACGCAAAGTTTGATTTTGTTCGCAGCGAGGGGTCCCTGGATTTATGCTCGCTCCCCGTCTGCGGCGGGACCCTTTGCAATTACTTTTAAAAGGCATCCGAGACGTAGGCGCAGCGGAGGGAGCTAGCGAGCCCTTCCCACAACCCGGGTGAAAATTACACTTTAAAGTACCCAGATGAAATTTTCAAGGCAGGGACGCGAGATTGGATCAAATCACATAAACTGGAAACGGGGGGAGAGGGGGGGAGATAGTATAATGGCGCATAATTGGTTCTGTAATAGCATTACACCAGGATAATGGCCTGTTATGGCCCCCTGCACTATTAAGTGCTTCCCTGGCGTAAAGCCTTTATGATATTAAAGGGGGACGATAATGATATTTTGGTTATTAAATGCGTGTAATTAATTTATGCACCGCTGAAAATAAAGTTGGTCTGATGACCCACTCAAGCTGCACCAGAAGATGCAAGTCAGACAACTGTTGATAAGTTCTGGTGTCTGTGTTGCGTCTAGACTCTTGATTTTATTTGGGAACAATTGCTTCTTGGGCAGACTACACAGATTGAATATTTTATAAACCCTGGAAGGCTCCGGGCAGGGGCAGTCGTCAGGGCGAGCAAACCTACACAAGCTTTCTGCGAGCTGGGGAGGGGGGAGGGGCTTTTAAAAATACAGCGCGCTGGGGGACAGGTCCCGGCAGAGTCATTCCACGTGTACGATCGCGTGAAATTGACACGAATAAGCCGCTGGAAAGGCTTCTGGAGAGCTGCAGGGAATTGGACAATCTCCGAAAGAAGCAGCCTTAGACTTCAAATCTGGCTCGTTGTGCGTCAAGAAGAACTCAGACAGATGGGCTACCAGGGGCGGGGAATCTTTTTGGGTTGGGGGCTCATAGAAAAATCAGTCGGGGGGCTCAGCGTGAGGCCCTAAGCCTCGGGGGCCAGATCCAAGTAACCCGGGGGCCGCCCCCGGCCCCCGGGCCTTAGGTTCCCTACCCCTAGGCTAGGGACTCTGTCTAACACGATCATGATACATTGCGATGCTGTGCATGTTTGATCGTCCCAAGCACCCTCTGACAACAGACCTGGACCCAACCGGAGGTTGTGTTTATGAGAGGACTCCTCGCTGATTTCGCAGCGACAGACCTCTCTGCAGCAAAGGATTATGCATTCAAACTGGCTATTAACTCCTGCTATGTCCTAGCCCCCGCCTGATCCCCCAAACAACCGCACAGGATCGTTTTCACTTTAACCCTCCCCCCACAAAGATCCCAGATGGGTTTCGCCTCCGCAGCCCTGCCTCTACCCAGAAGTGCCTTTCCCTTTCTCTCTGACCTCCTGGGAAGAATTCGGGAGTGTTTGATCCGACCAGCTCCTAATAAACTAGTCATAACTCCAGGCTGGCGCGTTTGGGACGCGCGGCTGGGTTGGCTTCCTCTTTGCCCCCCAGCGGTTTAAAGCCTGCAAATTCAGCGCATCGCAGGAGGGAGAGGCTGGAGTACGGAAAAGTGCTCGCCTGCTTAATTGCAACGCTCCAACCACAGCTCGGACTTAATGAAAAGTTGGCTGAGTTGGAGGCTTTTTCTCCAGTCCTCAAGCAGTCGCCATTGGAACAATTTATTTCAGCACCAGGGACAGCGCCTTTGGGACTCACAGCGCAGCTCAAGATGTAACCCCGAACTTTCCCTTCTTCCACGTAACCGCCGGGAAAGCTGCTTTTCTGCGGCTCTTGATTGTTTTCCTTGTTTTCCTCCCAAGATCTGCTGCCGATAAGTATCAGGAAGAGACACTTATCCAAGGCCAACCTTTTAAAGACCCAGATCTCAGGGCAGTAAAACAATATTCCAGCCCAGCTCAGGGAAACCTGACTTGAGGCTTTCTTTTTTGACCTTTGGGTTTGAACCTTCCAGCAAAAACAGCTGGAAACGCTTGATTGTTTTCCTTGTTTTCCTCCCAAGATCTGCTGCCGATAAGTATCAGGAAGAGACACTTATCCAAGGCCAACCTTTTAAAGACCCAGATCTCAGGGCAGTAAAACAATATTCCAGCCCAGCTCAGGGAAACCTGACTTGAGGCTTTCTTTTTTGACCTTTGGGTTTGAACCTTCCAGCAAAAACAGCTGGAAACGCCTTGCAGGTGCGGGGGGGGGGGGGGAGAGGACAAATGCTCTCCTTAACCTCAGAGGATAGGACAAGAAGCAAGGGGCTTCAATTGTACCAAGGGAGGCTTAGGTTGGACATTAGGAAAAACTTCCTACCTGTCAGGGTGGTGAAACACTGGAATAAATTGCCCAGGGAGGTTGTGGAAACTCCATGACTGGAGATATTTAAGAGCAGGTGACACAAACATCTGCCAGAGATGATCTAGATGGTGCTTGGTCGTGCTGTGAGGGCAGGGGACCGGACTCGATGACCTCTCACCGTCTCTTCCAGTTCTAGTGTTCTAGGATTCTATGACTCACCCACCTATGGCAGACCATCCATCCTAGATGAACCAAACAAAATCAGGCATGGAGAAAATCTTTGGAGATTTAAGCGTTGACTGGGCAAAACTTGGAGAAACTCAGAGTGACTAAAGTTTGATGAAGTAGCCTCTTGCTTCAAAAACATTTGCTTTCTAGATGATGCTCACTACCTAGCCCCAAACACAAGGTAGATGCTAAAAGGTTATTTTACCTTAATTCATGTGCAGTAAAATGTATTTTCCAATTAACCAAATTTGCTGATTTGTCCCGCTTGGACACTCCTATAATTTATATTGGAAAAGTGTTCTTTCTTTAGCTAAAGACCAAGGTGACTGCTTTTAATTTTCTGTAACCTCTTTACACTTGATGTTCACCAGACTCATCATGTTAATTGGCTTCATATACGGATCATCAGTTTAATGAAGGAATAAATCCTATGTTGCTTTATGTCCCTCTGTTTTAACAGTGATTGCTTTAATGAAGGATGTGACGTGTTCAACAGCAGAACTACAGTAGACATAGAAGCTTTTTTTTTTATTAAAGCTGAAATACTTTTTTAAAGCTAAAACCACGAGGATGCCATATTTCAAACGGCTTCATTTAAATTTCCTCCCTTGGAAAATAACAAGAAATTTCTGTCTTCCTGCAGTGATCAGAGACCAGGGAAGCCTACTTGTATTACATCTACATAGCCACTTTGAGTTATTGACAATATTTCTGGTCTGAATTTAAAAGGTGGAACTCCTCTACCTTTGCAAGGGAAAGGCTTACTCACAGGTAGCAAATCTCTCTCTCTCTCATCCTGTTTCATTGTCCAGAATTTGACTAAGAAGCAGACATCTCAGTTCACATAAAAACTCTCCCCAAAATTGTCCTCTTCTCCCAAATCGGGCTCTTGGAATTGGGAGTGGAAGGGTAAAGTCTAGTAAAATGGAGACTAATAAGGAAGACTGCAAATTAGAGGGAGAGGTGGAAAGCAGCAATAAAGTCAAGCAGTATATACGGATGGCACAGGCGAGAGAAGGTTTAAAATGCACTATGGAAGTGTTTCCCAAATGGTGTTCTGAAGTGAAAATAAGGGTCCTGCAAGAAAATTCCTTTACACTAACATTTTATGATTTTTTAAAAATAATATTTCAGCATTTATGAATGTTATTTGAAAACAATTTTCATTTGTGTTGATCTCATGACGTTGTTTAGCATTTGTTTATTATTATCCTTACTTATTTGTGGTCTACTTTTTCAGCTCCATATATAAGACTGTTATTAGGGGTTCTGCAAAATTCTTTCGCATTTAAAAGGGCTCCAGGGCCACATCAAATTGAGAAACACTGTACCCTGATAATGGTGTTTTGGCCTCCACTGACTGTGGAAGGAAGCCATGCTTTCATTATCACACCTTAGGAGTGTTGTCTGGAATAGAAGTATTTGCTCCTTCCCTAAGAGACTGCAGGCAAAATAGAAAGGGAAAGTGACTGTTTCAAACTCTGGTCCATATCATTAGGTATGGCCCTGCAAAGGTATCCAGGGAGATCTTGCAGCAGAGGGCGCTGACTCAGTTTGTCTCCCCGGGGAGTGAGCAGGAAGTGTTGGTTGTTCTGAGATCCTCCAAGGAATATTCAGCACAGGTGTTCTGAGATCCTCAGAGAAATCAGGCAGCTTCTGGGGCATCTGTGTCTGGCGGGGACACGGAGGTCCGTCTCCACAGCTGCACTTCTTCATCTGGAGACCTGCCTTTACCTTGCCCCTCGGAGGAGGTGAGACAGCAGACACCAATGATCCACTAGAGTAGGGCCACCAGTGACGGTCAGCGTAACTCCCAGGGAATCTGTCCCCAGGGGTTTGCTGGGGCTGACAATATACAAAGCAGCTCTCTGCTGTCTGAGTTCTCACCCCGCCCAGCTATGCCCCAAAGCAGGGGAAATAGGTCAGTAAAAGGGGGAGATCTATCCCAGTACGGTGTTTCTCTGCTCCCCACTCCCATACACTTTCACATACTGGTCCTCACAACGTCCCCGTGAGGCAGGGCGGGGCTATTTCCCCTCCGTGCACTCAGAAAGCATGGAAAGGCAAAGCAACCCACTCCAGCTCACGCAGAGGGTCTGAGACAGAGCACTGAGGTCTCC